CCACCCATACCGCTCCGGGGACTATTCCGGCGACCATTCCGACCACCACTCTTCTCCGACAACTGTTTCGATTTCGACGACCATTCCGGTGACAAATTTTCAATTTAATTAGTCACATATTATTTTACGGCTAAAATTCAAAAAATTTGCAAGTCAAAATTAATTCTTTGGTCACAAATTTCAAAATTAGTTGGTCACAGATCAAAATTTATAGGTCACACAGTCACAGATTTCTAAATTAGTTGGTCACAAATTTTTTCACGGTCACAGATTATATAATTTGTAGGTCACAGATAACAAAATGGTTGGTCACCGATTACCGAATTGTAAGGTCATAGATAATATTTTTAATCACAAAATCAAAATCACCAAATCCGCCAGATCTTCTATCAGCACCACCGTTGACTGCCACCATCATTGTCAACCTACCACACACCTAATCTTGTCAAATACCACACCACCTTCTCACATCATCCATATGAAAAAAGTCCCCAACTCCACAACACTACAGAGCTCACACAAATTAGCACACATGCGCCACAAATCGGCCACCTCCACCACCTGCACTGCTGCACCAACAACCATCGTTACCACCGCACTAGAGTTAAATTTGTAGTAGGAGATTCGAGTAATTTGAGGGTGAAAGATGGCTAGTAGACTTGGGGAATCGATAAACATGGAGCTCCCAAACCCAGATGTTGGACATTTCAAGTGTAATATTTGCTTCGACTTGGTTCAGGATCCGATTGTCACACGATGTGGTCTCCTCTTTTGCTGGCCTTGCCTTCACACCAACGACTATCGTTACTGCACACATCAAAACAACACAATCGACTTTCACACACAGAAATCGCCCACTGCCGTCGACCGGCGTGGCCGCACAGCGCATCCCGGCTACACCATCTTGACCCAATCACCTTCATTATGCCGTCGTCGACCCATATTTGCGTTGGGCGATGCTCTAAGCACCGCGGGCACTGGCGAACAGAGCTGTTGTGTTTCGCTGCCGCACGTGAAGATGAGCTTCGCCCATC